TTTTTTTTTTTTCACAGAGGAACGTGTAACGCCGCGGATGCGACTTGTCTAATGTTCCCTGTAATTAAACGAAATAATCGAGGTTTGCACCGCGGTTGCGCCGCGTTCTCATTATAATGCCGCGCATTCCACCGACGAAACGAGTCTTTTTCTCTCAGCACGTAGAATACACGAATGATGGATTACACGCGAATTCGCGTTCCGTACGTATTATGTTCCCGTTCCATTTTAATTACCATTGCCTGCAACCATCAGCCGAGCCAGGCGAGTCAGTGCGTTTCAATTAGTTCAATTTGGACTTCGGTGCGCCGAACACATCGAACAGGAACGAAAGACATACGTACCGTTATTGAAAATAGCGGAAGCAGCGACGTATTACGGGAACAAAGAAAGAAAACGAAAGGGAATGTTCGGTGGTTTTTTTTGGTATTACCTACCAAAATTTAGGAGAAAATTTAATTTCCCGTTGGAAAATTCTTCAAATATTTTCGTAACATTTTTCTACATTCGTCAGAAAGTTATTAGTTATTTCGATCTGTTGTTGCTATGAACTCTTGACACTACAACGATCGGTTACTTTCAGTAATAAGTTTCGCCAGTGGCCGACAAGTACTATCACGAATTTGTAAAACATAATCTCGACCGTGTATAAAGAAACGATCAGTAAGATAGAAATATTAAATGAATGATTATAATTGATGATTATTATTATAGTACATTCTTTGACGGTCACTAACCACGGAAAGTCTCTCCACGTTATATATATAATAGTAGTATTAACCAGTATCATTGGAGGCTGAAGATCACAGCAATTTAGAATTTCCAATTCTTCCATTGATTTTATTTCATTACTTCACCTCGATCGTAATTCTCAACGAACAATGTAAAACAGAATGAGATACTATCTACGATTTTTCCAATTACTATCGTGGATAACATGGACTGAGACTTGCCTAGCAAACTAGTTACAAAATGTCGAAAAAACGTCGGACGTTAATTGCAATGGGTGGTGCGCGTCGCCTTCTTGTTTCGAATAGAGCTGAGATAAATTTCTTAATTATAAGGACGGTATCGGAGGGAACACTGGCCGATCCTCGGCGACCATTGCACATTGTACAGAAATCGCCGTGTAGGTGTGGGGCAAACGCGGCAGAGATAGCCACCGGGCATTTTTTTTCGACCTCCGAGCCAGAGCCGTGCATAGTTTCCAGCAGGGCGTACTGCCGTGCCGTTTCCTCATACCGTGCATACGTCCCTAACGAGCAACGTGGTATAATGCACATAACGCCATTATAATAAACTTCATACTCGCCCATTCAGACGAGAAGCGCGCGCTGAGAAACGCACGAGCGTTGTATGCAACACTTACAATATACATATATATACATATATGTACGTACACGCATTCTCCTTTACACGAACTGAGAGATGCATGCCATTCCTTGCGAAATTTATGCTGAATAGTATTTTTCATCGAGGACGAGACAACTTCACGTGTGTGTACGCACACATGTATACGAATAGATGTGCAGGTACGCGTGACAATTTGCTTACTTGGGAATACTCTCGTTCTTTGAATGGTTGCAGCGTTATTTATTTTTTTCTTTTCTTTTCTTTTCTTTTTCGACTTAACACGGACTTGATTCACAAACGAGATTCTGCGAGGTGATTTTTATACGAATGGATCATCGAACAATTGAAGAGAAATGATGCAAGCATTGTACTAGCAAGTACGCAATAGCTAGTTAGTTGATCTTTCGTTAATGCCAAGCCACATGATTGACTTAAGAATATGCGACCTACATATCATCAGTGGTATCGATCTATACCGCTAACGATTATTAAACATTTAATGGCCGCGCTTATTACGCGACATTATCTTAACAATGAGGTAACAAAGTAAATCAACCTGTGGTAATTGCTGCATGGAGCATAGAAATTCATGAATATGCACATGCAGACCAG